ATCCTTTAGGAGGATTATAAAATCTGCAGGTAAGGGTTTCCCTGGTGGCGCAGTGGTTAAGAATCCACCTGCCAATGCAGGGGACACGGGTTCGACCCCTGGTCTGGGAAGATCCCACATGCCGCGGGGCAACTAAGCCCGCGTGCCACTACTGAAGCCTGCGCTCTAGAGCCCGCAAGTCACAACAAGAGAAGCCACAACAAGAGAAGCCACCGCAATGAGAAGCCTGCGCACTACAGTGAAGAGTAGCCCCGCTCGCTGCAACTAGAGAAGGCCCGCGCGCAGTAACAAAGACCCAGTGCAGCCAAAAATAAAATAAATAAATGTAAAAAACCACCATTCACTTTATAGCAGTACACGATATATACTCAATAAATATTTGTTAATCAATAAATATTATTTTTAAAAAATAGAAAGAAAATCTTCAAAAAAAAAAAAATCTGCAGGTAAGAGGTAACTAGTCACGGTGGGAGTAGTAGTTCGTTCGTTCCCTGAGGATGAGATGGCGTCTCTCCTATTCAGTCCCAGGTCCCCTTGGCTGACGTGAAGCTGTTCTGTGAGGTTTGGTTGTCAACTAATTTGACTTAGTGATCAAACTGTGCAGTACTTTGTGCATTCTGGATTTTAAAAGTTTTTGTTTATTCATTATATCAAATTTACCAGCCTAGGAGGGGAAATTAAGACTTTATGTAGTTTTTATATGTTGTACAATAATATTTCTTCAAATAAATCTCTCCTATAAATTAAAAAAAAGCCACAAACGGCCCACTGCCTGACACATAGTGGGGCTCCGTAAATTCTTGTTGAATGAATGAGTAAATCCACTCAGATCACTGAAAAAAGAGGTACAGGGAACTGAATTCCTATCAGTTTTCAGGAATCTCAGTGGAGGGTGGGCTGAGGGGATTTATAACTTACCTGGAAGGCCTTCAAAGTGCTAGAAGCTCCTGTAACCAGTGGAGGTAGTGGGGAGGGGTGTTAGACAATTGGAGTTGACTTTGGAACTGCAGAATGTGGATGAAGATGCAGGGGGGCTCCAGTCGATGTGGGCTTTCTATCCACAAGGCTAGAACCGTGGGTAGGAGCCTGCCGTCTCCCAGGAGGATGTGGGCCTCACCACTTGCCCTCTGTTTGCCGAACTTTACAGATCTGGTCTCAAGAGACTGGAGGAAGCCAGCTTCCAGGCTTTCTGCCCAGAGGCAAATTTCCCTCTTCCTACAGTATGGCTGGAGATGTCCAGGGAGGCTTATCCAAAGCGGCAGGCTGTGTCCACTCCTCCAGGTCTTGTAAGTTCCACCCTTCAAGCAGGAACGCTACCAACTTGGTCCAGAAAAACCCTACAGAGGAAATCCCTTATGAAAATGCTCTTCTGAGAAACTGATTTGACTTATTTTTATTTATTTTACTTATTTTATATTGGAGTATAGTTGATTAACAATGTTCTGTTAGTTTCAGGTGTACGACAGAGTGATTCAGTTATACATATACATGTATTTATTCTTTTTCAAATTCTTTTCCCATTTAGGTTATTACAAAATATTGAACAAAGTTCCCTATGCTATACAGTAGGTTCTTGTTGGTTATCTATTTAAAATATAGCAGTGTGTACGTGTCAATCCCAAACTCCCAGTCTATCCCTCCCCTCAACCCTTTCCCCCGGTAACCATAAGTTTGTTCTCTAAGTCTGTGAGGAGAAAGTGATTTTAGACATCTTTGCTAAGAAAAACTTGGTTTCTGTTGAGAAACAGCATTGAGGCAACTTAAATTACAATGAAATAAGACAATGTCACCAGATTCTCTAATTGTAAATGAGAACCATCACTAAGCTTCTCATGTTTCCCTTTTTGCTTTGGCTTCTAGGAAATTCATCTGCAGCAGTTTTTCTTTATGGTTCGAGTATTTCTAGACTTTTTTTCCTTAGCCCTTGCATCACCTTATATAACTGTAATTTCAGTTGCTTCAATACCTTGTGGAAATAAAACAATTAAATGCAGACTAGTACGTGGAAGTGAAGGGCCTCCCTGTGTTCATCCGGGTGGAGTCTTCTGCGAAGAAAAGGGCAGTCGTTGGCCCTCCTGGGCACGATGGCCACTAGGTGGCACCAAAGCCTTCCCACAGCCCTTCTTAGCCAGGCGATTTGGCCTGAAAGCGTTTCTGTATAAGCATTTCTGGCCATTTCTTGGACTGTGCTAACCACGTTGAGAGCTGCTCCTGTCCAGAACGCACTAGCTTTAGTTCTAGGGTCTGGGCAAAGCTGACCTGAGGGAGTCTGGCTGGCTTCTTTCAGATGTTCAACCTATGAGATCAAATAAGGTGGGGCAGCTCTGAACCAGACTAGGCCAGCTGGGGGCTGTGCATCCTCCATGGAAGCAGCTCCACTTTCTACACCATCCAAGGCAGGGGGAGGTGGGACCCTCATCACACACAGAGAGTTTAGGGGGTGTGTTATAGGGGCGCAGGGAAGGGGCTTTTCAGCACCCCCAAGTGTTCTGGTGACTTCTGTCTGACGTGAACATCACCATTAATGTTTGCCTCTGTTATTCACTAAGAGAAATTGTCATTTAAAGCCATTTTGTATCTAGGCCTCTATGCCCAAGACTAGAAAACAGCCTTCAGTAGAAGCTGGAAGAATGTAATTCTATAACCTTTAAATTCAGGTTCTTGAACCCTCCTGAATCTATTTGTTATAATAATTGTGACAAAAGATGTTTCCTTTGAGAATCCATTTTTATTCATGCCAATTTCTCATGTTGTTTTCTCAAGCCTCTAATAGTATCTGATCAATTGTGTTTCTAGAGAATTAAAGAGAAGCGGAATCCTACAAATCAGGAGGGGGCATTTATGTCCAGACCGGGAACGTGGTGCAACGTGGCCCAGGGCAGGGTGGGGAAGGCGACGAACCAGCTGTTCCCGCTGCTTGCGTGAAATTCAGACTTGGGGTCACTGGCCAGAACTGGTCATGATAGCGCTCTGAGGGCTGGGAAGGGAGAAGCTCTCAACAGTTTATTTGCTCTTAAAAATCTCTTCTAGGAATTCTATGTGTCTACTCAGGTGCCTCTTACCTGGTGGAATGGAGAATTCATTCGTCTTCAGAAAGCCCAGTAGGGGGATAGGAAGTACCTGCACTTCTCCTGATTCACAAGGGTCTAAAGAGATCAGCCATGGGTTCAAGGGTCTTCCCAATACAAGTAAACATTTGGCCTCACCTGGAAGGTGCTAGACGGTGCAGCCCAGCAGGCTTCCATGTGACCGCTCCCCTGTCCTCGGGTCTCAGGGCTCAAGCAGCAGCCAGTGCTACAACCTACCTTGTACTCCACACATCAGCCCCTCGACCGTCACAAAAGTCTCTTCGGTGGCTCACCACCCTCCCCCATGGGTACCACCCTCCCCCTCCCCCATGGGTGACCCAAGATGATTTCGGTAGGGCTCACTCTCCAGGTCCATTAGGGACCCCCGAGAAACATTTGATCTTTAAAGCAGATACTAGGTGGTATGTAGGGTGGGCCATGGTCAGACCGGGAGTAGTAATTTGGGGAGTCTTATGTGGAAAAGAGGCAAGTAAGGGATGGGCTGGGAACTAGACCAGGGCACTTACTAACACCCCTGCACCCCCAGGGCAATGTTAGGGGGAACTGCAAGGTCAAGGAGACGTTTTGTCCATTAAATAACAAAAAACTAGGGTTAAAGTCTAGATGTCCTCCATCACAGAGCCAAATCCAGGAGAAAAATAAATTTATGAGACAACCTCAATTTTTTTTAATTGAACAAATTTATTGAGCACCTACAGTATGCCAGCATCTATCACAATAATAATCCAAAAGAGTCAGGATCTACCAGTGGGTATCAGGAGCCCTCCTGGATGAGGACAATGCTAGCGGTAGGTCAGAAAAGGGAGCGATGCCCTCAGTAGTGTCTCTGTGACTCCTCCTCGGAGTGACTGCCGTCTGTGGGGAGGGGAGCATCTGAGTGGGGTCTGCGGTGGGCTTCTCTCCCCTTCTCCCCTTGTGTTATGGCGGGCATCTTGCATTTTCTGCTTTTGAAGGGGTTTGCTGACATCTTTTGGGGTCACTCAGTTTGGTAGACTACACTGTGCTGAGGCAGGGGTCGGTGAGAAAGGACGGGGGCAGAGTGCATCAGAGCTGTGCTCTGAAGCATCTGTAGGGGGTGTGTGTGAATATTCTGAACTAAGGGCACTGATGAGGATGAAGACAGGAGGAGCCGTCACCTGGCCGCGGGTCTACTCGTGGATGCCTCGGTGACTTTTGCTATCCTGAGCTTGTCTACTGCTCCCTGGGGCTGCGTCAGCACCCTGAGTGATTAGCGTGTTGTTTTGCATCATCAGCTACCGTCTGTGAGTCACATTTCCGGGCAGCAGGTGGATGGCCTTCTAGGCATCATCTCTGCGGAAAGAAGCCCCACGCTGCTCTGAGCCCTGTGGTTCTGTAGTCACCAGTGTGGCCCCTACAGTGTATTTTCTTGGTCTCGGGCACCACAGCAGCAGAGGGATGCAACCCTCTGTTCTTTATCGTTGACCGTGGCCGAGATCTCAAATCAACGTCAGTCTAGCACAGGGGTTGGCAAACTACGACCTTTGGGCGAAATCTGACCCTCCACCCGTTCTTGTAAAATAAATTTTCTTGGAACTCAGCCGCTCCCATTCATTTATATATCATAGGCTGCTTTCACACTATAATGACAGAGACTGTACGGCTGGCAAAGCTGGAAGTATTTATTATTTAGCCCTTTAAAAAAATTTGCTCGCTCCTGGTCTAGAATTATAGAAGACCATATTTTTTTTTTTTTTTTTTTTTTGCGGTACGCGGGCCTCTCACCGTTGTGGCCTCTCCCGTTGCGGAGCACAGGCTCCGGACGCGCAGGCTCAGCGGCCATGGCTCACGGGCCCAGCCACTCCGCGGCATGTGGGATCCTCCCGGACCGGGGCACGAACCCGTGTCCCCGGCATCGGCAGGCGGACTTTCAACCACCGCGCCACCAGGGAATCCCAGAAGACCATATTTTTATTTACTTAAATCAGAGCAGAATATTGTAATTCGGAGTCCTGGAATATGCGGGATGTTCGGGGTAGGAGGTAAGGTTCTCATTACAGGGATGGCAAAGACTTGAGGCTTCAGCTCGAGTCTGATCGCTGGTAACGGCTGCCGGGAGGACTGTGTTGAAGAGGATTCTGAAGCTGTGTCTGGGCTGGTGTGGGCGCTTCCAGAGAGGTGTAAACGGGGCCGTGAGTCATTCAGGCAGGGAGCACCAGAGTGGGACGTAAGCAAGGCAGGCAAGTCTGTGCTCTTCCCCAAAGGTATACAGCAACTAGGGACAGCTCGGCGTTGTCCCCGACGCCAGCACTTGGCACTGTAGAGGCTGGAATTGTAAACATACCCTTACTGGAGTGGGAGAGAGGTGAGATTTAAATACTGTTCACGCTGTGGCAGAAGCAGGCAGTGGCGGGTAAGGCCAAGGTCAGGTTAGAGCTCCAGCTTTAATTAAGGCTCCTATGCACGCGTGCAGCAGTGTTGGTTCACGACAGCATTCTGTGTAAAGCTTCCCGCTTGGAGAAGAGGGGAGTGCATTTATTAACCTGTGCAATCAAAATGCCAGTTAAAAGTGTTATGAATTATTTAAACATGAAAAAGGGTGTGTGATGATGCATGTTTACTGGAGAAAGCAGTACAAAATATGGTTCCTGTCATTTGCACAGATCTGTGTATGTATAGCCCTTGGATTGTGGTTTTAAAAATTGAAGCAACTTAAGAATACCCACTATGTCTAATAACCTACTATTCTGTAACTCCGAGAACGATTCTTCCTCATTGATCCAGGCAAATCTAGATAGCGGAGTTCTGTAGACCCCCAGCTGTTACAGTGAATGTGTTTGAAAGATGTGTGCAGATCTAGTTTTGGGAACTCAAAATCGTATTATAAATGCACTACAGTGACTCCTTTCACTGTAACGGTACCTGGAAATTCTCAGGGCCACTGCTCCCTGGTAAGGTAAACAGAGATGGAGAATCCAGTAAGGTGGAATTATGCGCACTAATCTCTCATACAAGTCACTTGGTATCTTTCTCACATTCAACGTTTTTTGGCTTTAATTGTTTTTCCTTCCCAGCATGAAAAATTGTGAAATCAACTCCAGCTGACTAGGTTTTCTTTCCATTTCAAATAATTATATGAAGCATTTAAATAAGTGCACCAAACCATATCTCAAATGGAACTGAGTATTCAAAACATATATTTTATGCCTTAAGTTTGTTGAGAATTTATTTGCATAAAAATCCCAGTATATTTCCACTGAGCCCACCACCTTGCAGGTGACGGGTGGTGTGTCAAACGTGCTAATAATGACCCCGTGAGACAGATAATTAGATTCCGGAGGACCTGGGGACGCGGGGCCGAGAACACGGGTGGCGTGCAGACCCCAGAGGGGCAGGGGCACCTGAGCCTGTGGGTCTGAAAGACAAGAGTGGGGTGTGTTCAGATGTAGAATTCCTCCTCCACGTCGTTGTCCGCGCCTCCGGCCAGCACTGAGGGTGGCAGGACGCCTCTGCCAGTCTGCTGGGCGTCGGGAGCATCGTAAGGGAGTTCTGGGGGTGACTCTGGGAGCCAGGAGGTGTCGGAAGCTGGGGAAGTGGTGACAGCTGTGGCCGAGGAGCTGGAAGGCCCTTTGGTGAACAGAGGGAGGGCAGCCCAGGAGGCCTCTGTGGTCACGCCGCCCCCAGCGGGCAGGGGTCCTTCTCTGGAAGCCCTGCGCTCTGACCAGAGGCTGCTGCATCTTTCGGAGGGGAGCAGTGTCTCCACGGGGCTGCAGAACCTGCTGGGTGCAGAGTATGCAGAGACCACGGACAGGTCGGAGGAGGAGAGCCGCAGCCCCGTGTCCACGTCCGTCTCCTGGGCCCCCTCTAAGTCATCGATGGAGAGGAGGTGGCCGTGCCTCCGCTCCGACGCCCTCTGTCCCGGGCCGTCTGTGTTTGCAAAGCACAGTGGTTCAGCTGAGGAGGCCAGGGAGGGGTCTCCCGTGGGCAAACAAAACAGGGACTTGCTTCTCTGGAAAGGCCAGGGGAGGCTGGGAGGGCTGCCGGCTGGTCTGGCCAAGTCCTGCGGCTGCCGGGTAGGCAGGCCTGTCTGGCCGAACCCCGGGTCTGAAGTGTCCATCGGGGGCTGCGGGCCACTGCCAGGGGTCTGGCTCTGTGCAGCGGCACTCGGAGAAGGCGTGGACCCAGCTTTCTGCTCTGAGGCGTGGTGAGCTCTGCTGGGTTTAGGGCACTTCCTGCGTACCCTCTGTGCCTGCAGGGGGAAGAGGGCATATCACATCAGTGCAGGACTGGCGGTCACCGGGGACGGGGATTCCGCTGTTAACAGAACGTGAGACACATTTCCTGATGACTGGAAACTTCTGGCAATGTCTCGGCAGTAAAGCATTACCAGAAATTTCATTCTCCAAATTCTAAAGCAAAGACAGAGGTAGCGGAGCTTGGGGGAATACAGATCAGACTTCTCAGTCTGAGCAGACATCCCCAAACCCAGGGGGAGACGCAGTCCCTTGTCACGACAGGGAACGGTACGTCTTCCAGTGCACACGCAAGGATGCTCGACAGATTAGCCACAAGCATGAGGCCTGGCTGAGCAGGAGAGGGGAGACAAGAATTACCATTCAATGCAAGAAGGTTGCTTGAAGGGTTTATCTCCCTCCAACCAAAGCCCCACTGTTTGGAAATACTACTGACGGCAGCATGGAAGGATCGGGATGGGACTTGACTCCAGTGCACGTGTGAACATCAGGACACAGCCTAGGGGTGGCCTACGATTCAGGGCAGTACATCTTCAAAGAGTGCAGGGCTATCAGGAAATTGGCATTTATTTACTTGCTCTAAGGAACTCCACGATACTCAGCTATTTTGCCTTTCAGAAACTGTATGGGAAAGGGGGCGGTTGACTACTGACTAACCCCGTGGATGCCCCACAGGGCTTGGACAAGCAGTTTCACCCTTTAACACTCCGCCCTGTCCTCCTAGTCTCCCTGACCTTCCCTGCAGCTCTGCAGGAAGCTGTTTCTGCTGCACAGAACTGGGGCTTCACTTCCGATTCTCATGCACCCCTGGGGCTGCTGCTCTCGGGTTCTCTCCCTGGTCTGGTTCACCAGGCCTGCAGGCCAAAGTCTGGATTACTTACCACCCAGATAATGGATCTGGGGACAGTGGGTCTGGCTCTGCTCTGTATAGGATTACCTGATTTATGAATCCCTGCAACAAGAGGGCTGAGTGCAGTTTACTATAAGGGCTATTTCCTAGCACCCAGCAGGCTACGAGACATTGGCTCTTCCCTGGACAGGCAAGTCCCCCACCTCCCTGTTAGACAGGAACCTGGTTTTGTTATAGCCACCTGGGAAATTTTATTCAATGCAATACACACTTATTTGTACCTATTACAGGTAAAGGAGGAGACACTACAATGAGAAGGACTGTCCCCAACCACATGAACCTTCTATCTCATTGACAGGATCGGAGACAAAAAGAACTCAGACAAGGGCGTGTGAAGACAGGCACAATACTAGGCCGAAGAGCGAGAGGCCGTGCCTGCCCGCGGGAGCACAGGAGTCTTCAGTTGGAGGTGGCCATGGAGATGGGCGGCTGTCGTCCTAGTGGGTGGCACGCGTGGAGAGGAGGCTGTGCTGGAGAGAGAGGCCAAGACAAACGGGCTGACTGTTGGCAGGTAAGCAAGGGAGTTGCAGGGAGCGGGGAGCAAGCAGCTCGGCTTGATTACAGACCAGGTGCCTGGAAAGCAGCGCTGTAGGTCAGCTTGGGGATGGAGTCTAGTATTGGTCAAGGAGACCCTGACCGTGTGGGTAAGAAATACACAGACTTATCCTTCTGCTGGGGCCATGTTCACTCATTATGGTTTTTTCTATAGGACCATTCCTTTCACTGATTTCTTAGATCTTTTTTGCCTAATTCCAGATATCTCTTAATCCTATAAACAGACCGACTGACTCATTGTTTTTCAATCAACATTAACTGAGAGTCTTTTAAGCGGAGCTCCTCAACTGGTGTGTTTAAGCTTTGCCTGGGTTATAAAGGTGTGCTGAGGACTGATCTCTGTCACCAGCAGCCTCTTGTACCACAGAAATATTATCGTTTCCTGTGTGCTCTGATGTGAAAAAGGTCTGGAGGACCAGGCACAGATAATTTTGAATAAGACACGATCTTAGCCCCCCACAATTAACAATACAACGGTCAAGTGTAATAAGGTGAGCCACAATGATAAAGTGAGCGGCGATATAATGGGGGCGTTTGGGGCACCAAGGGGGGAGGGGTTGATTTTACAGAGGGGGTGAGGCAGCACGGGGAGAGGGTAGAAAAAGCTTGCCTTGAAGTCATGACTGGACAGAATCTTGGAAGTGGAAGAGGGGTTTGTCAACTGGAGGGCAGTGGGCGTGGCATGGAAAGGCACACAGGCACAGAGGCAGCCTGAGCAGAGGCTGGGGGCATGAACCAAAACAAGAGGCGAGCCCTGAGAAGTGAGAGGAGCCTCATCAGGGGCGTGCTGTTGTCTGCGCAAGCTCCCTCTCCCTCTATATTCTTTTTCAGATTCTTTTCCATTTTGGTTATTACAAGATACTGAGTATAGTTCACTATGCTACACAGTAAATCCTTGTTGTTCATCTATTTTATAGATGGTAGTGTGTATCTGCTAATCCCAAACTCCTAATTTATCCATCCCTCTTGCCTTTCCTCTTTGGTAACCATAAGTTGTTTTCTATGACAGTGAGTCTGTTTCTGTTTTGCAGGTAAGTTCATTTGTATCGTATTTTAGATTCCACTCATAACGGATAGCATATGATATTTGTCTTTCTCTGTCTGACTTAGTATGATAATCTCTAGGTTCATCAATGTTGCTGCAAATGGCATGATTTCATTCTTTTTTATGGCTGAGTAATATTCCATTGTATGTATGTACCACATCTTCTTTATCCATTCATCTATCGATGGACACTTAGGTTGCTTCCATGTCTTGGCTATTGTAAATAGTGCTGCCGTGAACATTGGGGTGGATTTATCTTTTTGAATGACGGTTTTCTCTGGATATATGCCCAGGAGTGCTGGATCATATGGTAGCTCTATTTTTAGTTTTTTAAGGAACCTCCATACTGTTTTCCATAGTGACTGTACCAATTTACATTCCTGCCCATGGTATAGGAGGGTTCCCCTTTCTCCACACCCACTCTAGCATTTATTATTTGTAGACTTTTTGATGATGGTTAATCTGACTGGTATTAGGTGATACCTCATTGTAGTTTTGATTTGCATTTCTCTAATAATGAGCAATGCTGAACATCTTTCCATGTGCCTGTTGGTCATCTGTATGTCTTCCTTGGAGAAATGTCTCTTTAGGTCTTCTGCCCATTTTTTTGATTGGGTTGTTCGTTCTTTTGTTATTGCGTTGTATGAGCTGTTTGTATATTTTGGAGATTAATCCCTTGTCAGTTGCATCATTTGCAAATATTTTCTCCCAGCCTGTGGGTTGTCTTTTCGTTTTATGATTTCCTTTGCTGTGCAAAAGCTTATAAGTTTGATTAGGTCTCATTTGTTTACTTTTGCTTTTATTTCTATTGCCTTTGGAGACTGACCTAAGAAAACATTGGTATGATTTATGTCAGAGAACGTTTTGCCTATGTTCTCTTCTAGGTGTTTTATGGTGTCATGTATTATATTTAAGTCTTTAAGCCATTTTGGGTTTATTTTTTTGTATGGTGTGAGGGAGTTTACATGCAGCTGTCTAGCTTTCTCAACACCACTTGCTTTTTTTCCATTGTATATTCTTGCCTCCTTTGTCCAAGCCTAATTGATGATATGTGTGTGGGTTTATTTCTGGGGTCTCTATTCTGTTCCATTGATCCATATGTCTGTTTTTGTGCCACTACCATGCTGTTTTGATTACTGTAGCTTTGTAGTGTTGTCTGAAGTCTGGGAGGGTTACGGATCCTCTTCTTAATCCTCAGTCTCTAATTCTGTGTGGGGGGGGGTGTCTTTGTCCCCGTGACCTGCTGTCTTCCTGCCCAACAGTCTCTGTACAGCATAATGAAATTCTCAAGCTGTTCTGCTAAGGGTGGTTTAAGGAGCTGAAGGTCAAGAGCAGCAATTACGGAGGTTTCTGATGGTCTAAATTATAGATTCTTAAAGAATATGATGCAAAATGTTTTTAGTACAGGTTGTAAGATATGGTTCTCGTAAAGATCACACTCTACAAGGCCATTCTACTTGCATTTTATGTGCATGGGGACCTCACTGAATATGGCAAGGAAGGTGCTGAGCCAAACTCGTTCCTCCTGGGGTATGACCCACTCACCAGGGCTTGCTGCTCTGTGCTCCAGTATCCCCTGAACTCCCAACCCAGCCATTCTGACTCTGTGCTGTACTGCTCTGGTTAGTGATCCATCTTCTCTGCAAGGCCCTGTGCTTCACGAGGGAGATCCTGCTCAGCACATACCCTGACCAGTACCCAATACACAGCAGGAACTTAAGCATGAATGAAGAGTCACAGCTTTGGGATGGGGTCAGGAGTGGCCTCAGAAGGCCCATGTGTACCTGGGAGGTGTGACAGCTGAGTGGCTGTTGAAGAGACAAACCAGTTTTCTCAATCATTTGAGTTTGGCTAAATAAGAGAGAAAATAAGTCATGAGGCTCTTTAGAGAAGGAAGTCCTCAGGTACAGAGCCTACTTCCAGTGGGGGGACAGTGTTTATTAATTAAGAGGTCTATCTTATTTTTCCAAAGGGCTGAGTCCCTTGGGTGCCCCAGTAAGTATGTACCACCCTGTAACTTGCATGTTCAGAGTCTTATTCGAGGGGCATGCTCTGGGTGAGCATGCTTGCAGTCAGAATCTGCCTGAAAGAGGAAGCCTCTGTGAATACTGCTCCATGAGAAGCAAAAGGCCAAGGTTCCAACTTGAGGAACTGTTTGGAGACATCTGAAGCTTTCCACGGTCAGAGACAGAGTGGTGTTAAATTAGACTCAAAATCAGGAACAGCTAGCAGAGGACGCATCCTTGGTGGCTTTGCAGAGATTTTCATCACTGTGCTCTTATTTTTTTTACTGCATCGTGAAGGCAGGAGTCCAGCTAAATCCTAATATCTTCTTTGAAGAGAGGTGGTAGCCAGTGTTTTTCACTGGAGGGGTGCCCACGTGCACCGTAGAGGTGGCTGCTGGGCAGGTGGGATTCCAGTTGGCACAGCATTGGCCGGTGATGATGCAGGATCCTGGGGTGGGGAGTTGGAGGAGGTTGGCTGCG